GCCAATATTTATAAGCGAATTTTTGGTCGGTCACTATTCACCTCCAGCGCTACTTGTCACCTTTGGCTATGTCTGCAACACCCAGCGGGTCTAGGTTGCCGACAGGCACTAGCTGATATTAGTCGCCTAAACAGTACGGTAATTGTGAAAAATTTCACTGCACATATGTGGCAGTTCTCTGAGCTACGACTCTTTAAGGACAGAGGCATCGTTTCTTTCAATAAACTGAGATAACTTAGTTAAGCATCACTCCTGAAACGTAATACCAAATCGGTGGTTCCATAGGATTAGCTTGTGACAGGAACAGGTTAGCTTTAAGCTACTTAAAAAATATGACTACAGCGGGTCTATTTGTATAAAGCCCCGGTCTATCAAAAGTAATTCCATAAAATGCAAGCCGTTCTGAATACATTATGAAATTAAACCGACTGTATTCCTAGAATTCATCACTTTGGACACATTTCTTTTTGCTAACGTTGCATATATGTGCATAACACAAGACCAACAAACTACATTCATCATACTAATACATACACAACTATAGTAGTAACTATGCTTTCATATGCACAAAGCAACATTTTTGCGTTTTATGACGGACACACGCCCAAACTGTCCCAACGGTATTTATAATCTCACTATCAGCTCACTCACATCCAAGTGGCATTTCATTTGGCTTACGGCATTGTCTTTTCGTTTGCCGGTCATTTATTAGTTTATGCCGCCTTTTGGTCTACCGGTCGGTCGGTCGACTATTTAATCATACTCGTATCTGCGTAAGCTTTCACAATTTGTCCTGTTTTGTGTTTGTGTGCTCGTGTCCCCAAAGCGCTTATATATTGGAATGAACATAGATTTACTTTCATAAATTCCCATATGACCCATCAGAGATTTGTTGTGGTCAGCCTTTTCGTCCGTGATTTTACCGTTGTTTGAATAGGGTGATAGTGTCAATGTTTATGTTGTTTTTATGATTATTTGTGTTTTGTATTAGAGTAAAGAGCTTATTCAAGAGACAAATAAATTACTTAGATAGGGTAAGTCAGCGGAAAATAGGATGTTGTGTATGAATAAATAGCGCTTGAGGAGGGAAAATTAATATAGATGCTTGCATGACTACATAGACTGAACAACTTCAGCATAAGAAGTGATATTTGTATTTTGTTCTTACAAGCTTTAATATCTACTTACTTACAGGCGAATTTAAAGTGTTTCGTACTCCTTTGACCCAGTTCATAATATAGTACAAGACAGCTGATTACTTCAGTAATTATTCAAATTATCTCACAGTTTTGCTGACTTAAGCAACCAATGGTTGTCCGTAGAGTTTATCAAAAATTCAAAACATAATTTTCTTGTTCTCAAAAATAAACAAGTAGCAGCCATCCACTGATGCACTTGTTTGATTTTGTAGTCCTTTAACAGGTCAGACAAACTCAGACGCTTCTTAAAATAAGGATTGAAAGAAAAGTGACTAAGCTGTTTATTTTATAACAAGCAATTTTTCTGGTGACATCGTTAAATAGTATGTAAAAATGTACATATGTATATGTATTTTTAGTATGCCTATACGAAAATCAGCTGCAGTAAATTCCAGCATTTTGTGAATTTGCCTGTCCAAAAACCAATGACTGCGGATTTTTTTTTAGGTCATCGAGGCACAAAATTTTTCTGCAATAAGATATTCGAAACTGTTTTTCATAAGAAATATAAACAATACCCTGTTTTCGCTGCAAGATTATGTAACTTACTATATAAGCCTAATTTCTAGACCAGCCGATGGGCTTGACCTCAGCGCTCCGATTATGCAGAGCGCTGCCATACGCTGTATCTTTTCTAATGGCTTACGATATGTCGGTTTCCTCTATACCGTCAACGATATCAAAGCGACGTTATGCAATACTTACTTCAACTATTTAGTGCTGTGTAACATCAATGCACGCAAGGACTCTGCGTTCCTGCTTCTGCATTGCTCAGCAGTTTAATGTAGAAGATCACCTCAAGGGATGTCGTAAAGTCTTCGAGAGACAGTTTGGTGTTACTCAGTTTCGAAAGGCTTTAAACTTTCTTGCGAAGAGTATCATTTCTATTTCTTCTAAGATTATCCCAAAGCTTGCTAGAGGAAACTGGAGAAAAATTTTTATGAAAAATTACTGTGTGGTAAATGTGCCCCTTATTAAAAACCAAAGTAAAATTTATAAGAAATACTAGCAGACCCGGCGAACTTCGTCCCGCCCAAAATAAATTTTTTGTATTGAAACATTTTGGTACAACATTTTCACCAACAGTTCACTTCCATGATTTTCAGTGACGCGTTTATCTTCTAATATTACGGCTTCGTGGTTGTCGGAAGGCATATTTCCATTACCATATTAAATAACCTAGCAAAATTGTATATGCATACAAAGATACGTAATAGCTTCAGTACCGTTTGAAAGGCACCACACCCCCCTTATAAAATAGCCGCAATTTTTTCTAAGAGGATGGGAGTGATTTCTCATATTTCCATACCATGTTCAAGTACTCTACCATGAACACTGCCAGAGATATGCAGTGTGAAATATTCGGTTTGCATGGGAGGTGCCACGCCCGTTTTTCCAATAGCCCAAATTTTTCTTCATGACTATGCTATTGATTTTATATGTCTTGTGCATACCAAGTTCCAGTACTCTACCATGAACACTTGCAGAGATATAAAGTGTGAAAAATTTGGTTTGTATGGGAGGTGCCACGCCCCCTTCACTTAGCGGTATGAAACATACTTTACACCCTATTATCATACCTACCAAATATACACAAACAATTTCATTCAAATCGGTCAAGCCGTTTCGGATGAGTTCGACCACAAACACCGTGACACGATATTTTTATATATTAGATTTTTCATACCAAAATACCAAAAGATCTAAAAGAAAAAAATAGAGAAAATTTTTTTAGGATAGGGACACCCTAATCGCCAAATTCCAGTACTCTATCGTGAGCACTGCCAGAGGTATGCAGTATGAAAAACTCGGTTTGTATGGTTTGTGCCACGCCTCCTTTTCCAATAACCACAATTTTTCTCCATGAGTATGTGATTGTTTTCATATATCTCCAAACCAGGTTCGAGTACTCTACCATGAACACTTCCAAAGTTAAGCAAAATGAAAAATTCGATTTGTATGGGTGGTGCCCCGCCCCCTTTTACGATAACCATAATTTGTCTCCGTGAGTATGCGATTGGTTTGATATATCTCCATACCAAGTTATAGTACTCTACCATGAACACTTCCAGATATATGCAGTATGAAATATTCGGTTTGTATGGGAGGTGCCACGCCCCCTGCACCTAGCGGTATGAAATATACTTTACATCCGATTCTCATACCTACCAAATATACACAAAAAATTTCATAAAGACAGTGCTGCCGTTGTGCAACTATAAGGGGCAATTTGACCCTTTTCAAGCGCCAATACCCTTTGACCCAACTTTTTGAAAATTTTGAGTTTCTTACCCTTTTGCATAACTCTGTGCGACTTTTGCACCTTTTCAGAGATTTTTTAGGAAATGTTAACAGAACCATGCTAATATTTCCTTCTACAAAAAAAGTGTCACTTATAACTAATAGGGGAAATGCAACTCTTCTAGATTTATGTGTATGTTTGCAACCCTGTTTTGTGAAATGCTTGTCCCGCTATTTTTTTTTTAAATTTAACAGATTTATTCTTTTACTTTACCTTTTTGCGACTTTCTAAGAACTCTCAACGGCAACACTAATATCTATGTACATAATTACAAAAATTTATATGTATTTGCTTATAAACACATTTAGATAAAGACTGTAATTGAATATTTTTATTAATGATGCAAATTGGACATATGCTAGAAAAAAATTTGTAACAACTAAAGTTTGTTTACTGATAGTGCACTTCGCCGCCACACATACATATGTACATAGATGCTTCAAGTGTCTCTCTGAAAAAAATAACAATTCTACAGCAAATGTCTTATTTTAAATGTTTTTATGTATTCTTGGCAATTGGCTACCTTTCAAGGCATAAGAAATTGACATTCACTGCAGTAATATATTAAAATGAGGCGTTACCGAGGATGCAATTTTTTTATACATGTACATCTGTATCTGTCGCAATGCTGTACCGTAAATCAGACGTCTACATTTGTAATGCATTTGGCTTGCCAAAAAAGATACTTGATGCAACTTTTGTAATTAATACGTCGGCTTTTAACGACAACAGTCAATATTTTAAGGGCAAATTTTGCAAATGTGAAATTAAATTTTAAAATGATGATTTCATAAATAATAATTAATTAATTTTTGATACGAGTATAAAGTCAAAAATGTTGTTTTTGTAAACTTACGGTCAACATTACGCCGCTTCTGCTAAAACCCAGCATAAGTAGTATGTAGCTACTTGTATGTAAGAAACATATTTATGGAACATATTGCTGTTAAATCATAGCCACAGTTATTCTGTGACTATGTTAAAAAGCCTAAACAAAATACCCTGACCCTGAAAATTAGTCATAAGGAGGAAAAACTAATGCAAAACTCAATAACATCCCCTGCTAATGCAAATACTTAGTAGAAATGTAAATGCCTTGGATAGCCAGCATGTTAGTTTACATTCTTTTACTAGCCGCTCTCTGTTAGAAGTTCTATTCGCCTGTAATATTTACCTTGTATAGAAATTTGTGCTTAAATATTTTGTAGTTTCCGTATGGCAAGACAATATACATACATACGTGCCTATTTTGGTAGTAAATTGAAAACTTTAAACGCGTCTCTTGAAAAATTCCGGTTTTGAGATTGCGGCAGTTTTAGTAAATTGTACAGTAAAATTCAACATAATCATAGTGCGAGTGCTTCTTAGTACATATGAAAACTGAAAAATCTGGCAGCACTGCAAACTCTCAGAGAAAAAACTGGCCCAATAATGTATGCGGGAAACGAACTTCTCGTTTGCCGAAGTGAATGAGTACGCGATTCGCAAATCACAGACAGTAGCAGCAGAGTCAGTTGGTGGCTGTTGGGGCGCACTGTTGTTTGATTTGGCATTTTCAGAGCGCTCGTTGCCGTGAAACGTACTTGGCGCGGACAATCAAAGTGAACGGTGTTTTCACATTAAACTTTTTGCTGGGCTAATTTGTTGAAATCTGCGTCAGACGTAGAAGACGTAAGCGTTTTATTTATTTATTAAATAAGTGTTTATATGCCAAGTGTGCGTAAGTAAGTGTGTGGCAATGTAAATTTGAAAAAAATAAAAAAAATACTAAATCAAAAAAACAAGAAAAATATGAAATATTCTTTTTTGAATTAAGTACATATAAAACTGGCAACGAACGAGGCAAGTCAAAGAAAATAGAAACACAAAGTGTAGTGCAAAAATGCGTAAAATAAGCAACAAAAACAAGTGATAATAAATTTATTTCGTTTGAAGTGTATTTTTTTCTATTTTTCGCTAAAAGTGAATGAGTCGCAAGAGCTCGAATGCGAGCTGAGAATGCTGCGTATAATATACCGACTAATTATTTCTTCGTTCAACCGAATTTAAGTGTTGAGATGGCACATAATTTGCGCTTATTTGCGTTCATTTACTGAGAGTTCGAAAATAATTACTTCGCAAATGATTTTATTTATTTTTATTTTTTTTTCATTGTTTTCAGTTGATTGCGGCTTGTAAACGTTTTATGTGCTGCAAGTGTAGCTTTAAGTACCATCGCTATTGCCGCGTCACTACCTAATGTACATATGTACATACATACAGTATCGGTCATATCTATAGCACGCCATTTCAAAGTGATATTGTGTGCCACTTATGTTTATTTATTTATTTTTAAGAATTTTCAATTAAAATACAGTTCTTTATCTAACAAAACCCATATAAACCCAAGTTTAAAAACTTATAGAAAACTACAAAAAAGTGCAACAAATTTTCACCTAAATTTCAAACTTTTTTCTCGGAAGTGTTTGAATTTTTCTGAATACCCAGTTTTATAGCCCAATCAATTTTAGTCTGATAATGTGCAAGTTTCAAGTGGCTAAAAGTTACCGCTGATTTTTTAGAATTTTTTCGCCAAGGATGTTGCGGTTTTCGGTATTTTTCTTCCAATGCGACAAAAAAAAATCTTAAAAATTAACGGTAATTCGTAGCCTCTTGAAATTTGCACATTATCAGACTAAAATTGCAGGGGCTAAAAACTGTGTCCTCAAAAAAATTCTATCACTACCGTGAAAAAAGTTTGAAATTTAGGTGACAATTTTTTACACTTTTTTGTAGTTTTCTACAAATTGTTGAACTTGGGTATATATGGGGTTTGTCCGAGAATGAACAAGATTTTAATTGAAAATTCTTAAAAATAAATAAACATAAGTGGCACACAATATCACTTTGAAATGGCGTGCTATAGATATGACCGATACTGTACATACATAGTTGCTTGCTGTTACTGTTGTTATTGCCATGACTTGTATAAGCTTCCGTTGAACACCTTTATTGGCTTCAATTACGAATAGTGCCGCAACTCTCACATTCAATTGGCGTTAAGTGGGTGGTATGCATTCGAGGAACGACTGACTATACTTATAAAAACACACGTTCATACATAAGTATAAACATCTGTAAATATGTGCATACGATACAAAAAGCATACCAAGCATTAGCACAAAAGCGTTATATTAGAAATTTGGCGATGAAGACGCGAAAAAAATTATTCCAAGTAGCAAAAAAAAAATAAACGTTTTCCGTGCGGTTAAAAAATAAGTACAGGCAGATAAGCACATATTTTTTATCTTAACAACTTTAGAATACCCAAATTTTAAATTTAAGGCAAATTTTTTTATTAAAATTTAAATAATTTTAAATATCATTGCATTGTTCACTAACTCTGAGCTAATTATCGAACGCGGCACCGCTAGACAGTAGCAAGTTTTAAAAAAATTTCAAAATTTTCATACTAAATTGTTGCTCCTGAAATTAAAAACAAATCAAGTATTTACATAAATTAAAAAAAAACTTACTCAATATTTTCTAAATAACAGAAATCGCAATAAAACTGAGGACCAGTGCTAAAATATAAGCAGACTTATAAAGCAGTCAAGCAAGATTTAAGTCATTTTCACGGATATTTTTCTTGGGTGAGTAATTGATGTTATACATGCAAATGAACTCTTAACCCTTAGGTTAATTAACCATTAGGTTAAGTTAAGGTCATTAACCCTTTTTTTATACTTTTATTATAAGATTAGATTTACATACAATCAGATAAGGACATCCCATAAACTTAACAATAATCCCAACTTTATTGATAGCAACTATTACAGTAGCAACTGTGAAAAAAAGTTTCTAGTTTTCTAATTCTACTTGAAAAAGCTCGGACGGGTTTTACCACTAGTTCGCGTTATACTCAGATGCATATCTCTTCTAAATAGTATCAATCCATAAAGAGTAACATAGTATCACACTGTTGCTAGATCTCTCACATTTTTAGTGATCTAAAGACAAGTTAAGAGAACTCTGAATACATCGGCCTGTAACTCGGAATATATCGAGTATTTGGTTTTTTTTTTTGCCGACAGCTAACTTTTTCTTCGATATCGGGCATTTCATCTACATTTACTCATTACAGATTTATTTTAACGGCAAACACCATCAGCAGCGACTAAAATTTGGAATCACGATTTGAAGCCAAGTTTGAAGTCGCTAAAAATTTCCGTTGATTTCAAATAATGTTTTTTGCCGACGGTGTTGTGTATTTTATAACATACTTTGTATGGAAAAAAACGCAAACCACCGTCAGCAAAAAAAGATCAGGAATAAATATGTATTGCCAATAGAAAGAAAGAAGAGAATGTACACAAAATGACAACTTTACATTTCGCAGTTTCGGAGTAAATTATAAAACTCCCATTGAAGAAATAATTCACCAAGAAAATTAAAAAAATAAATAAATGTTTTGCAAAACAATGAAAAACGTATACGGTAGTAGAGGATAAAAACCCGGGTGGTGAAGAACTTGGCACTTAGACGGTTCCAGCGCCAAACAAGAAGATTAATGACAAAAAATTGTTCTTCTTTGATTTCGAACAACGCATACCGATCACTGATTTTTTTTTAGCAACGGTACGCTCAACTGCTGCGCCTTCTGAACCTACCCATTGTACATATGTATGTATGTGTACTATGTAGAAATAGAGGCAGACGTCTTACATATATGGCTGTAGGGTATGTAAATCTATACAAACAAACATCCATATACATACAATAATTAAAAGCGTTTAAAAGCGCATTATTATACAAAAACAAAGTAATTATTGTATAAGTACATTGATATTGCCACTTGCCAAGCTTAATGCATACTTCAGCCGTAGCGCAGTGCGCTTATTAGCAAAAAATGCATGTTTACCTCGAATGATATGGAACTTGTTCGCTCAAAATGAAAGTGAGCTGTCAAAAATTAGTTGAGCCTCAAACAAGTGCAGAGCAGTTTATAATTATTTAGGAAGTATTCCAGAGTATGTGTTTATCATGGCGAAAATTAAGCGAAAGAAATACGTGCATGCGAGTACATCTTTTTTACTCACATGCAAATTAAACAACGTTTAAGATACGTATGTATGTATAGAAGTACCTCAGCTGATGGAGAAACACACAAAAGACAGCATTATCAACAGTTCTTCATTTACACCTCAAGGCAGCGGTGATTACAGCAAATGAGGTCATTGCAAATAATGCCGTTATTTACGCTTAAACAAACTGGTTAAAATGAAATAGTAGAATAGCAGGTATCTGCAAGAAAGCATTAGTGTTAGTGATATTTTCACGCAAAAAAACCCCTTTAGCAGAAAAATGTTGCCGACTACAATAGAGAAGCATTCTAGAAAAACCATTGAAGAAAAAGAGTTAATTCGTGCGTACATACATACGTTGTATTGAAAAGTGATCTGACTTAATGTATTGGGATGCTGTAGTTAAGTATCTCTGCTTGAGAACAAATAATTTATTCTTGATTAATTCGGATCTTTAAATCATTTTATATTCAAGCATTTGCTACAAACCTGGGTCCATTTGTGATTACTTAGTCTTATAACTTTGAACTCAAATCGTTGCAAGATTGCGATGCTTGATTTCTCTTCTCACCCCCATGGTTGTAGGCCACAAGTCCATCCATAGTTTAGGAATGGAAAGGCAGGCCCATAATTTACTTTGGACAGGAGAATTTGCGATTTCGGATCAAGCAACCAATACGGGGTCATTAGCTTTATACCAAGTCGCTTTCGTTTCGTGAAGACGTACTTAACTTCTTCAGCCATGCCAGAGGTCATTCACAGCATCCTTTCACTTAAAACAAAAATACAACTCAAAAAACTAGCTGTAAGATAAGCTAGCTGAATTAGATTTTTCAATTGACTTTACTTAAAATCAACAAAAAAGTTTGAGGTTCCCAAAGTCTAAATCTGAAAAAATTAATTGATAGTTTTAATACCCACAAGATTTCAATATTTTCGTAATTCAAAGTAGGCTTACCAAATTTTCAAATTATCAGTTTAAGAAAAAACCGTGGTTTTAGTAACCTCCTCTTCCTTTTACATATATGTATGTATGTATGTTAATATAGGGGGTACTCCTTGTACTATATTTGTCGATATACATACATACAATATATTCGCTTTACAATGACATATACTATGTCCTTTAGTGGACTTGCCATAGAACAATTTTGGCATTTACTACCAACGTCTGCGTCTACATTTATAAACGATGTCAACTTGTGTTTTCGAAGGACGAAAATGCTGCATGCATCACAACAACCTAACAACAACAACAACAACGTCAATACACACCGCATTATCAGGCAGATGAATAACACTAGAAAATGAGATAAACTAGTCGAAAAGGCAGAAGAAGGAAACGAAGAAGAAAAAGAACGGCAGCAAACTGCCATTCCACTCAACAGCAGAGTAAAAATCTGTATATAAAATAAAAACAAAAAGCTAAAATAAACAAAGCAAAATGTATTTTAGTTTGCGGTAAGTAATGCAAGCTGAGAAAAGTGCAGCAGCGAATGCTCGCAAAGCTATGTACGCTCTACTATGCTGCCGGCCAAAGTGCAACGCAGCTTACGGAAGTGACATGGAAAGACAATAAAAGGTTGAAGGACACATTGTCGAGATTGTAAATATATGTGTATGAATAAAGTAAATAGATATGTGAAAGGAGGTATGGGAGCATATAAGGCAGTTACTGCGGTTGACTTGCACTGTATTACATTAAAATGAAGCAGTGAAAAGGACAATAATGCAAACACGCATACGTACATACACAGTTATGAACAGAAACGCACACAGCCACGCAGGCAGATATTTACATATACACATGCTTTTGTCTGTGACTGTGTGTTGTGACCACACAAGGACACAAATAATGGCTGAAGGATGTGTGGTTGGATGAGTTGTGAGCAGCATTGAGCTGCAATGAGATATTGCTAACGGTAGTTGTGTGTTGGAATTTTGAGGTAAATTTTGTTGCATAAAGACCACAATTTTTTTTTCTCTCGATCGAGAACGCAATTGATATTCGCAAAAGTATACTTTCACAATATACAGGACTTTAATGGAGTGAAAGGGGGAATATGTGGCAATCAGAGTGAAGGTGTTGGCAAGTAGTCGGGTTTTGGAAATAATCGCATGAAAGTGGGGTTTAACTAATCTTTGTAAAGCACTTCAACTTGCCGTCAATACGCTTTTCATGAAAATATTTGAATAGGAAGACCTAAAGGGTGGCTACTGGCTATGGTGATAAATACTAAATACATATATACTGTAGATATGGTATAAATTTGCATAGATTATGAAGTCATATAACTTCGTTATCAATTTTTTATTAGCTTCCTTGAAATATTACGTCAAATCCATTTTCAAGCTAAACCATTTATGTCTTAGTCGATATGCTTTGTTTTTTTTCAGTCAGGCATGGTTATTAATTAATTTTTATTTTAAGAAAGCTACAATAGGACTTACTGGTTGCATATGTATTTCCAGTTTAGTTTATTACAAAATTTTGTTAATAGAAAATACAACAAAATACATGGAAATGTATCGGTACATACATAGCAAACATCCGGAAGTGTCTGCAACCCCATCTGATTAATGAAAGTAAATTCTTAGCTAGACCTACTGCGAGTGAATGTAGACATGGGTTGTGCTTACATTAAGCCCATCGATACCTAGCAGTAATTTATAGTCAAATTTTTCATTCAATTTTTGAAGGTGGATGTGCTTTAACTTTTTGAGAGCCGAGGAATACCTGGTCTGAGCCAAATGTTTACATGTTTCATAACCCGGTACTCCTCCCGGCCCAACACCAAGAGCAAAACCAATTTCTTATATTTTTTAATATAATCCATCTGAGACTTGCATTGTGGAACTAGGGTGGTCGTATAAGCATTAAACTAACTGAAAGTCTGGCGGCCCTCCAGGGGTGGCACTAGCGCCACCAGAATGTTGAAGGATGGGAAAAAAAATCAATTACACTATTTTAACCAGTCTCGCATTTTGGGATATCCGAGTTGGTACTTCTCCGAAACCGAAAAAAAATTGCCAAACTGGTAGGGCGGTGGAAAATGAGTGCCAGACGCGGTAAAGTGGCGATTAAAAGAAGACTATTTAGATTATAATAACCAGGCAAAATTTTATGAATTATTATAGAATGAATCCTCAGGAGGCTATATGTTTGAAGCCAGATGAAATTTTGGTTTGAAACGCCCTCCGAGATCCAAAAATTCATTGCTACGCAAGCGTTTTCTTACTAATTTTTATTATAATCTGTTGGCGAAACGAAAAAGTATAAGAAGAAATACAATAGTTAATTAATTTTGTGAGTACCAAAAATGAGTTTTTGCAAGAAAACCTTTACAAAAGTGATTGCAGCATTAAAAACATATTAATGTCTAGATTTCCAATGCTATGGATTGAGAGTCTGCTCCAGTGCACCATACATGCACAGTCAATAACGCATCTTCTCATAGAAGTATAAATCATTTAGATTAGCATTGGCTGCGCTTTCCTGCAAGCAACTGAGAACATTGGGTCTATAATGATGCAGGTACATCTGCATAGGTCTGGGATTTGGTAAATTA